CCCTGAGAACCATATTGAAAACACATTTATCTTTGTAGAGTTTGTTCCTCTTCTAATTAACTTTACAGCGTTTACAGTATTGAATAATTTAAAGTGGGATTTCGAGCGGCAGCTCTGCCTGGGATGGTGCTGTGCATTATCTTTTTCCCGTGGTGTTTCTTGGGACAGGTTACTGGGGACAGATTTGTGCTCCAGATGGTTTTATCCATATTTTCATCTCCTCCCTCCATCTTTACACACCCAGCAGTTGGAACAGCAGGAAAATAAAAATGTGCCTCAGCTCAGAGCTCTGCTTTCCCAAAGCTCTGCTCCAGCCCAAGGATGGTTTGGAAAAGGTTTATCTTTTTACAGCTTCATCAATCAAAGCTTTAGAAGGTCAAAACTGCCCATGGTTCTCACCAGCTGGTCAAAGCTTGACCCCAAATACTCATTTTCTTGCAGTTTTGATCCAAGATTAACAGTTTATTATAGTTCAAAGGTTATTTCTTACTCTAGGTTYGCCGAGACAAACATTTGGTGCATCAGAGGAACTCCAGAGCTTTCCTGCCCTCGCTATTTCCACATGGAAACTCCACCTTATTCCATGAAAGCTCCATCTCCTGGCATTTATATCTGTGAGAAAACTCCCAGAATTACCAGCAAACATCACCTCAACATCACAAAAAAGCACATGATTATAATCACAAATCAACTCCCAAGGAAAAACTGCTGAAACCTGAAGAGCTCCTTTTAGGATGGAGAACATTCCATCTTCAGCATGTAACAACCTCATCCAGCATCACCAAAAGGAATTCAAACCACTTTATTCAGGTTCTTAAAAACCACCACACAACCTGCTAAGGCTAAACTGAGTTTTYYTAAAAGAAATCAGAGAGGAAAATGYTTTTCAGCTGCTGGAAGGGCAGGAAATCTTAAAAGTTCACCTTGTTCGTGAGGCTTTGGAGTTATTCAGCAGCACAAGAGCCTTGGGGACTGCAATCCTCAAAGGTAACAGAAATGAGAGAACTTTTGCCCAACTTTGTGTCCTACTGCACTTTTTAGAAAAAAAACCAATTAAATTAGGTTTGTCCTCTACAAATTTAAACATGTGCAGGCTCGAGAGCCTTCACAAAATCAGAGTTTGGCGCAGTGTCCAATAAAAGCCCACAACTATTTCACAAACTCCATGAAACCTATTTCATGGTGCCCAAWACAATTGAAAATCACAAGCAGCTGGCTCAGGCCATTTTTGTGTGATTTCAGAACTTTTGTGTCATTTCAGAGCTGGACCAGGCCATTTTTSTGTGATTTCAGAACTTTTGTGCACATTTCAGAGCTGGCCCAGGCCATTTTTATGTGAGATTTCAGAACTTTTGTGCACATTTCAGAGCTGCCCATTTTTGTGTGAGATTTTAGAACTTTTGTGTGYATTTCAGAGCTGCCCATTTTTGTGGGAGATTGCAGAACTTTTCTCTGATTTCAGAGCTGGCCCAGGCCATTTTTTATGTGATTTCAGAACTTTTGTGCACATTTCAGAGCTGCCCATTTTTGTGTGAGATTTTAGAACTTTTGTGTGTATTTCAGAGCTGCCCATTTTTGTGGGAGATTGCAGAACTTTTCTCTGATTTCAGAGCTGGCCCAGGCCATTTTTATGTGAGATTTCAGAACTTTTGTGCACATTTCAGAGCTGGCCCAGTCCATTTTTTGTGTGAGATTTCAGAACTTTTGTGTCATTTCAGAGCTGGCTCCACCCACGGCACGACAGCACCAGGTGAGACCTCAGTGAGAGCATTCCAGGAAAAACATCCCAGGGAAAGCTGGGAACAACAACTGCATTCACCAGAGCTCATTTCCTCCTCCTTGGTATCTGAAAATCATTTCACAGCCAGCTCATTTCAAACATTAAAAGCCACGGACATTTGGAAGTGGACGCTGGATTTTGGCACTCATGTGACTCTGAAATATTAATTAGRAAGATATTCAGGTTTTAATTGCCCTGTTATTCAGGTGAAGCTGTTTTGTAAAGCTCCTGAGCTGAAGCTGGGGAAGGCTAGCAGCATTTCATCTCCAGTAGCCACGTGAATGCAGCACAGGCTTCCTGYAAATCTGCTGCCAATTGATTTGCCTTGTAAACAGATCAGCAGGGGGATAAAAAAAATTCTGCAGAGCCAAAGTTACACATTTTGTTAGCACCAACTACTCCTCCTTCTTTAATTCAYTCTAATTTCCTCTCTCCTCCCATGATTAAAAATGATTACCTCTTGCTTCTCATGCCCTTAAACGACCTCCATCCAATTCTTCAAGCCATCCCAAATTTTCCACCACTTGATATCATTCAATTGATACATTTATAAAAATATAAAACATACATTTATAAAAATATAATTTTATATTATTTATATTTTATAATAGTTATAATAATTTAAAGAATTTATAATAATTTAAATAATAATTTTAAATAATTTATAATCATTTATAATAATTTATAATAATTTAAAAAAATTAAAATATTTTATATTTTTATATTATTTATATTTTATATTAATATACATTTATAAAAATATAAACTGGAAAGACAGCATAGGCTGCAGGGGCCTCTGCCTGAGCTCCTGCACTCTCCCCAAGGGGTCCAGGCCTCAAACTCTTCCTTTTGAATCTTCTATTACTTTTATTTCCCTCCTGCAATTGTCATTTCTATTCTTTTCAGTTTTCTTTTTATCTATATCATCTAAGGAAGGGCAAATTTGCCATTTCTCCATTTATTCTCAACTATTTTCTAATAATCCAAAACAAAAATATCCTGTTTGGTTCTTCTTTAAACATCTCCATGAGTTCAAATGAAGMATTTACTTAATTTAAAGCCATTGGTACATTTACATTTGAGCAGAACAATAAGCAAATATCCAATACATTTTGGACCTCTCTGGTGTATTTGAAAGTGTTTTTACAGATCCAGTATGCTCCAAATTATGGCTGAATAACCCATGTGGGGAAAACAGAGATATCTGAACGTTTGACCACCCAAAAAAATTCATTAACATGCCCCAAACCCATCCATTAATTTTGTGTGTGCATAAATATTTGTTTTCTTATCACCAAGAACAAGCAGGAGTGTTCTTTAAAAACCTCCACAACCCCAAAATTCAGGCAGATTTTYTTTTTCTTTTTTGGTTTTCCTTGAATTTGCCAATCTTGTAATCTAAGAGTGAAGTTGCCTGGACCAACCTCTAAAGCAGCAGAGAAATATCAGCCAAAACTCACAATCTGTTTCCCATTTATGTGTCAGGGCTGCAGCATTTTGGGGGRGCTGTGAAAACAATTATTTTAGAAGATTATTTAATGAATCATGGACTGMTTTGGGTTGGATGRGGACCCTTAAAATCATCCAGTYCAAGCCCTCTGTGAAACATTTCAGGCATTTTACTGGCTGGAAAATTTGACTTTTAAAATATAAAAATGTGTGCACCAAAAGCCAGTGAGAAAATCAAGATATGAGGCAAAAGTTCCATCCTGTTGGTGAGAATAAAATGAACATACAAGGATAGAAAACAAAATCTGTTATCAGGAAATTCATCTGGAAATTAATTATTAATGGTAACAACAAAAAGTTATTTGCAAATGCCAATATTATGGGGTTGAAAACACAGGAGGGCTTTTTTTTGAGGAAAGCAGAAACTTCTCATAATATCTGAATTATTTTTTGTTAACTGAGGAATACAATAACACAGTGARAATAATGATTCTCAGAGTTTGTTCATTTCTCAGGTATTTCAGCTTCCAAAAGGGTGTGAAGGAAGATTTTTACTAAACCAACACATCCTTTATATACATAAATACATTGGATAAAGACAGAAACTCTTGTGAGAGCTGTATCTGCATCCCTAATTTATAACTAATATAAATATTTTATTTATAAATAGAAATTTAAATATAAAATTTAATTTCAATAAAATAGAAATAGAAATAGAAATAGAAATAGAAATAGAAATAGAAATAGAAATAGAAATAGAAATAGAAATAGAAATAGAAATAGAAATAGAAATAGAAATAGAAATAGAAATAGAAATAGAAATAGAAATAGAAATAGAAATAGAAATGGAAATAGAAATAGATTGAAATTAAAATTGAAATTGAAATAGAAATAGAAAAACTTACAGGGCAGGGAAGAAAAGGAGAAAAATCACCCAAACCTGTTTTTTACAAGTTGTAAATACATAAAATAAAATCATTTTTCTGCTTTAACTAGTTTCTAATTTAAACATTTGAGGTAGGTAACATTAATACTGCAGTTTAACCCAGTAATAACAGGGAAAGTTACAGATTTGACAGTTCTTCTTTCACACACACGGTGATTAAATCCTTAATTGAAAAAGGTGTGGCCCAGAATTAGCCTTACAACTGTAAGAAGATTTACTTCAACTGCTCAGCCATTAAGTGGCTGTGTAGAGGATTACTCGTGAAAAGCAAATATTTTCCTGTAGGTAGAGAGATAAATCCCGTGCATTGTGTGAATCAAACGTAAAATATCTTAAGGGCCTCTTTTATAAGAGCAGTGATACAACAATTCTGGCCAGAGAGTAGAAAACGAGGCTATAAACTGATTTTTTTAACTCAAAGAAAGAGTTTTAACATGGATTTTGCAAATAAACCCTGTGTGGCTGCAACAGTGAAATGCTTGGTATTTGTAATTCATTTGCTGCTTGAAAAATGATTTTTTAAAGCACAGAGATTGTTTTAGACAYTTCACAATAATAATTTTGACCTGGATTAATATCAGAAAAAGGTTAATCACAAAGTTGTGATTCCACTGAGAGTAAAATAAACTTAAAATACCTCTTTATTTATTTTCTATCAAGAGGCTCTTTTTTAATTCCTTTCCAAAAGCTTAAGTCATAGGAAAATGGATGTTGACACACTRAAAAGGAGTTTAAAACCACATCCAATGTTATCCCATGAGCAAAAAAACAGAACCAGAGCTTCAAAGYTGTCATCCAGTGGGTGTTTAGATTGTATCACAGTTTATGTTTTATTTTATACACATAAAATTCTTACCCAGAAGATCCAATGCTTTTGCACACACCAAGCAGAGGCCGCTTCTCAGCAAAATTATCRGATTTCTGAGCACCTGGTAAAAGGGAAAACAAAAAAAAAAAATTAAAATTAAAATCACTTTGTACTGTTTGTGCAATTTTGGGCTCAATCTACTGGGAAGATATGTAATATATGAAAAAAACTGCCAGGCTGAGAAGGATGAGTGACAGAAACACAAATCACAGGCAGAGCTGTGACACTGAAGGATGCTCCCGAGATAAAAACAGAGATAAAAATGAGAAACAACACAAGCAGCAAAGTGGCCAGGCTTTGGGAGGGAATTTCTGCTCATCCCACTTGGGGCTGGGATTCTGTGGCAGGAACAAGCGATCCTTGCTCACTTTTCGTGGTTTTTTATGAAGTTGTTGTGGGTCTCACACCTTGGTTTGCACCTTGCTCTGCTGAGCTGCAAGGGGAACACACGAGTGCCCAGGAAAATGGGAGATCAAACCAAATCCTGAGCTGTTCCAGCTGCAGGAGATGGAAACCTTCAGGAAAACTCCTCCAGTGAAAACACAACTCATGCAGCACATCCCATCCCCCTGGAGAGGGAATTCCACCAGGGAACACCAGCACAGTCCAGCAGAGCTGGATTCTGATCCCAGTTCTACCTGCCCTGGCATCCA